ATGTTTTGAAGAGTTGGAAACAAACATTTCCCTCCACTTGAACCCTTTTATACTCTTTTTAAGGCAGACCTCACGGTGCTGCTTTCCCTCTCTTTCTCACTTTATACTGCACTTTCCTTCTACTTCAAATCAACTTTATTTATTCTGTCTTTCTCTCTCAGGCAATAGCTGACATGGTGACAGAGGAGCACCTGGCTGAGGGAAGACTTTATCCTCCTCTCAGCACCATAAGAGAGGTGTCCTTCAAGATCGCAGTGAAGGTAGGTGTTCTCTCACATGTACAGTTATAAATACAAAATGTAATGGGGTTATACTGTGGCATAATAATACAAATATCAGATGTTATAGAATGATGAGCTAATGACTGCACTGTAACATCAGCTAAATTGTATTGGACATGTCTTACATATTATACTATAAACGCTAGAGGGCATAATCAGAACAGATGAACCGTGCATCATTCATTTTCACTCAACTTTCTTGAAGTTCTGCGAGTGTATCGGGGATTTTCTTTGTTGCCTTTACAACAAACGTTTCAACACGGCTCACTGAGAAAACCGTCGGATCATCATAGATATGTAAGATGATAACCCAACCTAAGAGGGCCAAAGGTTTACAACTGGTGAATCAAATAGCCCCTTGAATGTCTGACTGTATCGTTCCTTTCTATAAAGTCAGTCACTCACTCCTAACATGTACACTGTGCTTTACCACTTCTCCTTCGCTGCCAGATTGTCAACTACGCATACAGACACAACATCGCCTCGCTGTACCCGGAGCCTAAAGACAAGGAGGCGTTTGTACTGTCCCACGTCTACAGTCCTGATTACGACTCCTTCACTCTGGACACGTACAGCTGGCCACAGGAGGCCATGAATGTCCAGGACGTGTGATCCGGACCTTCTTGTCTCTGTCTAAACTTAAAGGGGACCTATTATGCTTCTCCTTATATTCTGTCACATATATACATTGTTCCAGTGTTGAATGTTCATATTAAACGTGTCCAACGTTTCAGATAATTAGGTTAATGTATGTAAAAGTAATCCCGGTTCTTTCTGACATCGGCTCATCACAGATGTCTTTATATGGCCATCGGCTCCAAGCACAGCTATTCTCGCACAACCGTCTACTTGAGTAGTATTATAAGCATTTGATGTACTCTAGTATACAAATAACCGACAGTGCATGTTTACTATACAGTCGTTTGGTGACAGCAGAATATCATTTTACTGGCAATATTAGCTGTTGTATTTCCTGACAGCAGATGTTTTCCACTTAAATCTGCATTTTAGTGCATTTCCCACATGTACAGCCATTACCAGGATGTATAGAAAAAATACCATATACAGATTGTGACTTAAAGTCTAAATCCGCCTTCATGTCACACACTAAGCAGATAATGGGTGCGGTATTTACTTAACATAGATGTCCTGCTGTAATCTTTGCTGCTGTGGTTGCTGCGCTGCTATTCTGGATCAGATTCTGACTCTAACGTAAACTGATGGATTTGAGAAGTTGCCACTTCCAATCAATCATGTTGTTTTTTAGTTCTAGTCACTCACACAGTTTGTACAGCTTCAGAACCTCCACACCGTTAAGAGGATGAGGCGCCGCCCCTCGGCAGGCTTTCACATATTGAAGATGTAATCAGAAGAAAGTGGGCTGCGGTTCAACCTGATAGCCGACTCACGCAAAGCTACTCAAGTGGCGTCCTGGAATCAAACTATAGAGCTGGAAATGAGCATAATAGGTCCCCTTTAATATGGTGCCGTGGCGATGCACAGAAACCTTGCCAATGATTCTCGCCTTTTTAGTCATTTTTTTTCTCCTTAAAAATAATGTCTCTATAAATGTCAGTGTGTCCCTGGTTTGTTCAGTTCAACACGCAGCACACAGTGCTAATTATGACTTGGATGCCCAATAATAAGCCAACCAAACACTGCAGAATACTGTACATGTTAAGGATTCTCTATGTCAGCCTTTCATGTACAAGTTGTTATTTGCAGTGCTGTAATTTATTTTTGATCAGTTCTCCGAAGGTCTGACTGAAATTTTTTTTTTATATCTGCACAACAGCATATCAAAAATCATCTATGACTGTACATCTTCACCTGCATTTCTTTCAATTGATTTCCCAGCTAAGATCTGGTGAGTGCAGTGATTCAGAATCTGTCTTTGAGAGATGAATCTGAGCTGGTGCATGAAATACAAAGCAGCGGTTCACAATAACGCACAATGCTGTATCTTGTCTTGACACAAATGAACAGAGGACTCATTTTGAAGCTTAGTCGAGAAAAAAAAAAACAGAAACTATTAGTGCCTCTTCCTGTGTGACCTCAGGACATCCCTGCTCCAGATTATGAGTTAAAACCTCTGAAATTGTTCGGTGGGTAGCAAAAATCTGGTTCATCCCTGCAGCTGCTGCTTCATATTTTACACTCCTGTCAATGTGCGCACAAGTTATAACCTGCACACAGGACTGAAAACACTCCAGGATCAGCCTGTGCAGTATTTCTGTTTCATCCTTTCTGAATCAGTTATTCTTGATGGGAGGCATTGCTGTTTTCTTGAGTATGTGTTGTTAGGAATTGAATGTGACCATCAGGATGTTTTATTTGTATACAGTGGTGTGTTCTGCTTTAGTTTTGTACAGAGCTCTGCCTGTTGTTGTGTTTTTGCCAAAGTTACTGATGAACTGTATCTTATCTTTTACTCGTAGAGAACATGTTGCTCAGCAAGCTTTAGTACTGAGAGAGATGCTTGAAGTTTTCAAAGGGAAGGTGAAACTTTTTAAATAAAATTGTTATGAAAGTGAGTGATTTATTCAATGATTGATTTGACAGTTTTCCATCTTCATGATCCCAAAACTTACATCTTTTTATTGATTTAATGTACACTTTCACTTTATTATTTCTTGAGGCTGACACACGTGATATAGAAAGTTGTGTTGTGTAACTGAACCTTAAACGTCTCGTCATGAGTTAACCGTCTTTGCTTGGGATGTAGCTGCAGGTGGACTCAAGCTGTTATTGCCACATTGAAATGTAAGCCTGGTATGGTATGAATGTATGATTCAGTGGTTTCTCTACAATAAGAACATACAATACACAATACAAGGAAGCAGCTACAGGAACTGACATTTTGGAAAATTCAACCAGTGTCCAGCTGATATTCCGATCTTTACGCACCCATGCAGAGTCAGAGTCATCAGATAAGTTTCTTTTGAATCCTCTTGGCATTGATGCTTAAAATTAATGTCAAGTCAAACACTGTACTTAACTGGTAACATCAGAGCAGTAAAAATCATTCACCCTCGTAGTAACCCTCAGTAAACTGTTGTATTTCTGTTTAGTACACCCCCATCAACACGCTCTTATGTCATTTAGGCTTGAGGCTGTGTATCAGGCTTTGCCACAGCACATAATTATATCTTCTGCTTTCAACTTTGGGGGAAGGCTCATTCATGTTTCAACACAATGTCTCAGAGCACAAAGCCAGGCCCATTAGAATTACTATTACTATTATTATTATTATTTTTGATTTTGATGTGTGAAGGTCTCAGTGTTAATCCCATCCAACATCTTTTATAATGAATTAAAAGATCAACTTTGAGCATTTGTGGTGTAGTGGCTGAACCGGAGCGAATTCAGCCGGAGCCTGTTACAGCAGCACATCATTCATGATATTTGTACTTTAATTATTATTACACTCTCACACAGACATATTGCTCTCTTCATGTGTTGAGGCACTGTCACAATGCACTTTAAATAAACTTGAACTTGACTCACGATGCTACATTATCAAAGAGTTGAATGCATTTATCTTTTTTTTTTCTTTATTTCATTTGCAAAACATTTCTTGGCTTTTTGACAAGTTTTAACATTAGTAAGCAGGTAAGTCTTCGAGCACAACTGCCACTGATATGACAAAGGTGAGGGTGAATGGTGCAGGCCACTACAATACACATATAGGTCAGAAGAATATCACAATAAGGGACTTGGCAGGACTTAAAGAGCTACGCCAACAAATATGAAACAATGTCTAAAATCACCCATGTTCAACTGTATTCCTTATTTTTTCAAGTTTCTCAGACTGTAAGATATAAAATATCATCAACTCTTCTTCTATACTTTCACAGAAAGAAAGCAAACAAATAAAATGCAGTTGTGCCTTTGCATAATATCTCCTTTAATATCGACCGTAACATGCGGCATTAAAATTCTCTTGAAATCCTCTGCGTCTCCAACATACTGTAATACTGATAATCATGTAACAGCGTTACAAACTCGCCAACCACAGCTCTGAACAGATGTCGTCTTTTTCTAAACTAAATACTCCCATATGATTTTCTACTCAGCGCTGACTCAGCACTGTGATAGCATTAAAATCAGACATAAAATGTTCTTTAGCGACGTCCCTCACGTGCGAGTCGCTTTGGATAAAAGCGTCTGCCTAATGAGTGAATGTGAATGTAAGATGCGACTGTGAGCAGCAGCTGATGTGCAATATGGTCCACTCTTCACACTGAGAGATGATATCACGTCACCATGTTTGCTCAAACTACAGAGCTGGGTAATGTGACTGAAAAACAATGCCACAATAATTTCATACATTTACCCATAACCTGGATAACAATAAACTGACAAAGATCAGTTATGTTTAAAGGTAGACCAAAACAAAAAAAAGGCGGCCCAGTGATCAGTCGGTTAGGGTTGCTACACTCTTTGGCATCAGCGTTGGTGTTCATTGGCACCAATGGTGGCATTGGTGTTTTTCTGTGATCAATCAGCTCTCCAAAGCATCAGAGGAATCATTTATCTCTTTATAGTATGTGACAGTCTGTTTCAACCTATTTTTGTTGTTTGAAATTTTCTTGTACCAGCGTTTTAAAGCTGCCCTCTAGAAACATTTAGAGACATTCATCGTAACAAAACCTTTACCTGGTTAAATACATGAAAAATTAAAATAAATTTTAAGTCAACGCAACTGAGACTGATCAGTGACGCTTAACGCTGCCATTGTTGCAGTTTAGTTTATTGGACTGTACCACAGGCTTCAGGATCAAAAAAGACGAATCATCGTTTTAATATTAATTAATAATAATAATAATAATAATAAACCAGCTCCTGCTCCAGCCTCCTTTGAATGCTTGATCTGACCCACAGCTTGAGTGAACACATGGCAATGGCCTCCAGGCTCCACAGTCATGAACTGGTCCTTTTAACAATGTTAGAAAAAGCAAAACAACAGCAAATACATGACAGCAATTCAGTTATTATAAATCACGATTGAATACTCTCTGGTCTCTGTCAGGGACAAACAGAATCAGATACAAAATAGGCACATTATCTTTTTTATCACACAGACCTCTCCTCTCCAATCGTCTTTTCTACGATGAACATGTGACATTGTACAGTATCTGATCATGTTAAACTGACCCTCAAATGTCCATATAAAACACCCAGAATTGATGCTGGTTATGAAAAATGATTTCTCTAATAGAAAGTTAACTATTAATACAAAAGAGTCATTAGAAACGTAAAGGTCAACCCTTAACAAGGTCAAGTACACACACACCACTGCCACTGAGTTTGACTTGATGTGTGAACCTTTTCCAAACCTTGGAGGAGCTTATTGGGTCTGAAAGGCTGAGAGGCAGATCTGTCACTTAGAGAAGTCATCAGGTAAAAAGTCAACTGAAACAATGTGAACATCTTGTACAGCAAAATCTTTCCAGTCGTGGGGATATAAAAGCTGTTGGTTACCAAAAGAGCTGACGGTAACTGTGCAGGTTTTGTCCTTTAAATAAAAATGTAATATATATATTTTTTTGATAACAGAAAAATAGTACATTTTAAGCTGTCCTAATGTTTGGATCATGGTTGTATCGTAAACTTTTGTTTCTCATAATGAGTTATATAAACGTAACATTGCAAAATGTTTTTTTTTTAAAACACAAATTGACAAATTACACGTAGCAACAAATGGAGACAACGGTCGGCATATTGTAACATGGCTCAGAACATGAGAGCAGATTTCAACAATGAACAGCCTGAGAAAAATCTTTGAAACAAGAGCTCACTGAGGCTGAACCTCTGGCAAAAATAATCAACAAATAAACAGAAAAACAAAGCTCATTTTGAATCTGGAAAGAATACCAACACCAAACATGGGCAACTTAAAGCTGGAGTGCTGGACTTTCACAAATAAATAAAAGTCTGTTACATTCAAGCCCTTGCCAAACGAGTTCACACAGCGCTGATAAAGCCAATCAGGTGTCTGTGGCGACATTCCCGCTCTGATACACACCGAGAAACCAGCGATGATTGGTTTGCCCGGGCCGAAGAGGGGAGCAACCGTAGCGATGGAGATGGCGCAGGATACGCCAGCTAGGAGTAATGGTGGAAAAACCTTGAAGGCATCCGAGAAAAGTTTCTGATGCTCCAGATACAAAAGAAACTCGCACATTCAGAGGAAGGATTACAGTCCAACAAAGAAAGCGATCCACAGCGAGGACAAACACACCTTACATTGTTGTGGCCTGTGTCATTGTGTAATTACTCTGACTGCCAGAGGGGCGGGGCAAAAGTTCCACACTGCAGGTTTAAGTAAGAGTACGGCATACGCACACACTCACACACACAAAAAAAACACTTTGGCATGTTAATAGTTAATGTTACCATCTGTTTTTGTTACCAAGGTCTTTGGCATTTCTGAAAAAATTAAGTTTTATGGGGATAAAAAATAAATATAACAGGCATCTAAACAGAGATCAGTACAAGCAATTTGGTCAACCTCTTAGTAAAGATGGTATTTAAAGGGTATGTAGCCTCAGACACTTTAGTTGTTAATAAAGCCAAACAAAGAAATAAGTGTTTGGATGTCAAGGAACCAATTGGTGGATTCACACAGCAAACTCCTTAGTTTGTCTCTGTACTTCTATTTCTGTTGGCTCTTTTTCTTCTCCGGGCAAACGTAAGAAAGAAGCATATCTATCATGTTCTTGACGATGGTTGGGGGTGGATGGAGGGCGTGGGGGAGGTGGTGTGCTAAAGTCATTTGCCAGGCATCCACCAGCAGAACGCTCATTCCCTTGAACATGGCCCTGAGCACCTTATCCAGCTGCAGGGAGTACCAGTCGCTGTTATACAGGCTCACCTCTTGGTCCAAGGCTTGGAGGTTGGCTGAGCGGATCACAATGAGCGTCCCCGGCGCTCGGTCCAGAAGTCGTAACAAAGCCCGCCGAATGTGACGCAGCCGTCGTATGTATACCTCCACAGGAAAGGTGCTGAAATGGGCCCAGATGCTGAGGACCACAACAGTGTTGGGACCACCAGAAAGGCCGTCCAGCTCATTTGAAATGTACCTCAACTCGCTGGACATGACGGTGGAGAAGCGGATGGGCGGGCCATGGCAGCGATACTTCAAGAGAATATTATGAGTGCTGTCCACTGCCATGAAAGGCCCAACGTTTTTGGGACTGTGGAGGTTGAATTCCTTTAATTCTGGGGAGAGTGGAATAAATGGAAGATCCAGTGGGTAGGATGCACAAGGCAAATTGCAGACTGCAAACATCAAAGAACAGACAAGAAGACAAATCTCACCTGGTACGAGAGCAATGAGGTACTCGAACCACTGCCTGACGGTGGAGTCTCCATACATGTTGATCACCTTGTTCCGCAAACACTGAGTGATGGCAGATGATTCATTGAAGTGGCGCATTGTAACGCCACCTAACGCCCTCCACGACTCCATGTGGTAATATCCAGATGGTGCTAGCTCAATAGGTTCTGGTTTTACACTGCTGCTGTCTACCTCTACTTTATCTGACACAAGGTGAGAGATGTTGCAGACAAATTAAGTTAATGCAATAAATCAAAGCATGCACAAACTACAAATGTTACTCTGCAGGTGTACTGTACCTTTCCTTGGTGGCAGCACATTGATTCTGTCGGGTCCTGAAGCATGTATGCAAACTTTGATGTTTACACCACTAAAGTGAAAAAACAAAGTTAAAGAGTAAGGTTAATGATAATCAATATTTTTGTTAATGTCAACAAATCCTATAAAAAGACCAAAATCAACAATGTCTTAGTCTGTCCCTCAATGCGTTTGACTTTCTCACAGTGTCTGTGATGCTTTGCCCCAAGCACATTTGTTATTACTGTAGTTGTATATCTTTAAAACAAGCCACAAATACAGTTTAATAAAAACTTTCAAAAAAAACTGAGTAATTCCTTAAAACAGCTGGGCACTGTAGCGTTTAGCAAACATTACTCAAAATGAAGTAAAAAGTGCATTTTCGGGGACTATTTTCAGCTGTGGAGTCATACACATTTGGTGCACTAGGGAGCATTTCTAGAAGCAGGATGATTGATGCAGGATTGACTAAAAATAAAATGCAGTGCCCACGTTCATTGTTATGAAGGAACCCAGTGCAACAGAGTGGCTCATTGATGGGTTTTTAATAGTTTTGGACAACAATTTAATAATAATAATAATAATGATAATAATAATAACCCATTATTTAAAAAAACATATATCACTCTTTGAATAACACTACCAACCTCTGGAAGAGCAATGCTTCCTTATTGGTGATGAGGTGTTTTAGGTAGCCTCCTTTGGCATGGTTGACTCTGGTGTCACAGCTGAGCATTTTAGGCTTGTAGCAGTACCAGGGCTCCCCTGTGTAAAGATCTGTGTAGTTGCACAGAGGCTGCTGATCTGGGGGCAGGCACATGTTACACACAGTAGTTTCAGAGAGGAAACCCAAGCGAAAGAGGCTCTTGAAAAACACCCGATCTGGACGTTCTTCCCTCAGCCGTCGCAGCACAGCGACTGCCTCGCTGGAGTGCACCAACGTAATCTCAACATGTGCAGATCCCACCCAGAGGAGAGGGAACAGAGCAGAGTAAAATCCATTCCTGTGGTCCAGCACTTTACCTGCTACACCTGCTCCAAGCTCTGGAGAGTGCAGTCTGGCCAAAAGGAAATCCCCACCATAGCGTTTGGGGCGACCCTGGAAGTCATGCATTTGGACGAGGGCCTCCAGCTGGTCTCCCACATGCCACTCTCTTCCTCCTTTAGTGGGGAGGATGGCAAACAGGCTGTGCACAGGGTCGCTCGTCTGGCGCAAGGCAGTTGGTGCAGAGCGAGGCGGAGGCCCGGGCCACGCGATAGAGTCCAACAAATAGCGCTCTTCCAGTTCATCTTCGGGAGAGGGTTTTTGGCCCAGATGAGCGCAGAAGGTGCGGTTGTGATAAAAAGTGGGGAGATTGACCGAGATGAAGGATGAATGGATCCTGCTCTGTAGCTGGTACAGGGCTGAAATCGTGTGGCAATTCCAGCTCTGAAAGAGAAAAAGAGGAGAGTTGACTGGTAGAAGCACACCAAAAAAATAGATAGGAGATGCTGCAGGAAGTGGCATTATCAGCCTGTGACTGGCACATACAAATGTATCTTTAAAACTAAATAAACTATCTGTTTAACCATTCTTGTTGTTTCTATATGTTGTTTATATGACTGAACCATCTATGGGATGAGAGTATTTCATCAAATGTTTTTAATCTTTGTATTTAATATATATAAAATTGAATCTCCACCCAAATACCCAGCTTTTGCATGCGTATTATCTTGGTCACATATTATATAAGACTGTGTCAAGTAAGTCATAACAGTAAAGCTATAGAGTAACTCAAAATCCTCAAAATCTACAGAATATGTGTAGATTTTATGTAAAAAGCAGTTTGGAGATAAAAAGGTAAATGATCATTATATCCATTTCTAGTACAAGGTCATTGAGAGAGCACATAATCAAGAGTCATGTGTAACCCACTTCCTCACCTCCACAGTGTGAATGTTGCGCAACAGGAAGATGAGTCCAGAAAGAGCTAGGAAGAGGAAGACGAGGGCATATCTGGATAGATTTCGGCACATGGTGACCTCCTTCTGTCTCCCATGATCAGGCCCTTCTTCTCTCTCTGCTGTCACCACGGCGATGATGGCATCACTTCGTCCCCAGTGCCCAATGCTGACAAATGGACACTGTCAAAGAGCAAGATAGAAAGACAGAAAAGTAGCAATGTATTCAGACTAAACAAAAGGACACAGCCTATTCATGTTTCATGTAGAAAGGAAGAAAATTCACGGTAGATGCAGGATAATGCAGAGCTTCATCCAAACACGTTTGCCTGAGCGTTTTAACTGTCTCCTGCTAAAAACAGGAAAGTGTACGTCATGGTTTCTCTCTAGAGGAAATGAAACGATTTTTATGTTATTTAGCTGAGACTGAAAAACCAAGTAGTACCCTGAGCACTGAAGACAAATTTTATTCTAAGTATCATTTCTCAATATTTATTATAGCTTCATGAGCTACAGCGTTCAGTCATCGCTGCCTACGTCCTCCGATGAGATGATTACTTAGTATTTATTGACATTGTCTTGCTGTTGGTAACCTATATGTCCGTGTGTGTTCTTAATAAAGTTCTTTGACTCTGTTGATAAAAAAGAAAAGACTAAAACCAGGAATTATTCATATTTAATAAGCTGGAGCCTGTGAATTTTGGACATTAAGTGCTTAAAAAGATACATTTATCTATCACAATTGTTGCCGGTTCATTTCATGTCGATCAACCAATGGATTAATCGGCGAGCATCTTAGGCAGCTCACATTATTTATCCACTAGTCCGTGTAAAAGTTGCTGTCTGTTGTTTGTATACATACATTCCTCCAGGCTTAGAAACGTCTCCATGTTGAAACAAGCAGATTAAAGAGCCTTACAGACGTTCGTGGCACTGGACACTGTAAACATCCGACCGGTTCACATTTCATTTCATCTCCATCTTGAGTCATCAATCACATGAACGGCTGCATTGGCGCACGAGCCAACAACAAAGAAACGGATAGACAATAATATTCAATACATGGAGATTCCGATACATTCCTATTATTGATAATTATACGAACCGATTTCCGTTAGCTAACGTTAACACCGGCGGTGCAGGCGTGTTTAGCCGCGCGGTGCTCGCATACTTACACATTACGACGGCAGATTAGCATAACGTCGGACCGTTGTACGGACGGAGGAGGGTGACGAAGCGGACGGCTGACCGGAGAAGTGCAAACAGCGGCGGTTTGAGTGGCACATCAGGGATGGTGTAGTACACAGGAGGACCCTCCTGGTTACAGCTCCCAGGGGTAGGGGTGGGTCTATGGTAGATCTGTCTTGCTGGCTGCGTCCCCTGGTGGTCACTAATTTCAAACTTGTGCATAAAAGGAGAGTAATGGAAGGACGCTATTTTTGCATATATGCATGCATATCTCCATAGGACGTTACATAAAGAACAATTACCAAATAATGTACTCATGCCTTAAAGATCAGTTATAAGCAGTTACAATAACTATAAGCGATAAGAACAACTTTTGGGTTAGGTAGGACGTTTTGTCTTTTTAGGCTGATTCTATTGGAAATCTATTCATTTTTGGCAAAGGATTCCTTAAACAACTCAGAAATAGTAAGAGTACTTTATCATTAAAATAACTAAGTTGCACCGCCATTTCTTACAATATTTCAACATAATATGAAACCAAATAAGAATATTTGGAAAATTATAATTGCAGGTTTATTTACATTTCTCTGAAGAACATAAAGATACAACATTTTTCTATCAATCATTATCACTGTGTGTCACAATAGATAGTATGCATGTTGTGGCTCATGTATAGTATACATCTGTGTTTACAAGTGCACTACATTTAACACATCAACTCCTAATCTGATTTATTGCAGTTTATCAATAATACAGTGGATATCGACAAACAGAATATGCTTGGTCTTTGCATCAGTAGAGGAAGCAACCTACTCACTGTATGTGATGAGAAAATTGCTTTCAAGTTACTAAAACCTTCTGATGCTACATCACAATCATTGCCTTTACACAAAGAGGAGAATGTCCATTAAATAAGAGAACATGTAGTGTAGTATAAAAAACTCGAGTTACATTCACAGTAAGGTGTTGTTTTCAAGCCTGTCCTGGGTTCAGACTTGAGTGCAGTTATTTATAATCTGGGTCAGTAGTCAAGATGAGTGCAGTTTTCTGTCATGCCCAAAGTCTCAAGGGAACAATGCATCTCGGTCCTACACCCAGTGCTAATTTACACACGCTGAGGAGTTCTATACAGGTGTGGGCTCCAGGTTAGGTGTAGACTCAGACAGGGCCGAGAGTGGTTCCCTCCGTTCTTTGCACTTCTGCTGCCTTCTGCGGGGGAGAGTTGGACTGCGCTGTTTTACCAGGTGAGACTGGAGAGGAAGGCTGGGGTGTTTCTGTTCTATCACTGATCACCTCCTCAGCCTCCTCCTCCCTCTGCTGGACAGAGGAGAGGTACTGCTCCAGGAGGCTGCAGTCTGCGCTGTCCGCACCGTCGCTGCCACCAGCAAAGCTGCTACGAACAGGGCTCAGTGCGCGCACCGTCTTCAGGGAGTCTTCTGTCCCACTGCTCAGGAAACTGTCCTCCTGCGCCGCCTGCTGATCGCTTGTCGACTGGAAGCCAGAGTCTGGGAAGGAGACGTCTGTGCTGGGTGGGTTCGTTGTGCTGGAGGTGACAGGTGGGGCAGCCTTACCTTGTCCAGGAGATGAGATCTGAGCCTGGGTGACAGCTTGAGTAATATTATCCAACTGCTGCTCCACAGACTTCTTCCACTGCTGCATAGACTGGAGCTACATGGAAAAAACCAGGAGAAGTTTTAAACGAATGAGGCAGCCACGCATTTAGAGAGTATATCTGAAGATGATACCACAACATTATACAGCACAAATAATTAATGAGTGAAGTGAATGTGAGGTAATGATAAATAACTTTGATCACTAACCTCATTCCACAGAAACTTCACAGCCTCCTCCTGGACCAGCCTTTGTAACCTCTCTTCTTCATACTGCTTCTGCACACTGCAAACACATCAGTTTTACCTTTTAGTACCTTACCTTTCGTTAACATTTATATATATCTGCAGCCACATGTGAAAGTAGAACCACTCTTGTGCCATAATAAAAAAGACAACAAACAAAAATTACTCGTTACTGTCATAGAACGGTTTATTACTTGCTGTTGGTCAGTCACTTACCTGCCCAGCTTCTCAGACAGGAAGAGGATATGTTCTTGCATTCTGCGCAGGCGGATTTCACTGCGCACCTCTCTGGCCATGGGGTGACAACAGCGAGTGTACTGACCCCTCCACCAGGCCTGGATTTTAACTGCTGCCTTGTCTGCTTCCATCAAACCTGATTTGCTGGCACACATACCAGCGTCTTCCTGCTTGGGGGCTTCTTTCATCTCTGCTTGTCCAAAATCAGAGGATGTTTTCAGCTCATTTTGTGGTGTGCTAACTCTGACCCCTGGAGAGATAACTGTTGGGGCTGCACCAGAAATAACTTCTTCTTCAAGAGTCTTCCTCTCCTGCTTATCCACTGGGGGCGAACGACGTGTCTTGTCAGTGTTGTGCTTTCTGGGCTGTGCTGGCCGCTTTGGGGCCAGGGAATCAGGTTCAAAAGTCTCTGTCTCGTCCTCGCTGTCAGACTGGTTCGTTTGTGGCTCCAGACCAGATGTGAAGGGGAGAAAGGTGGACTCTGAGGAAAGCATGCTGCCATTGAGTTTGTCTTCATCTGTCTGAACATCCTCCAAATAGATGTGCTCCTCTCCACGCCTTGGGCTGCGAACTACTGGCAATGATGTGTGGGAAGAATCGCAGCTCACCCAAGTGTTGAACTGCACAACTGGCTCTGTAAGTTAAACACAAAAAAGACAAGTCAGCATTATAAAGAAAACACGTGCATTAAAATACTGGTAAAGAGAAACGATATATGCAAAGGCTGGTATCGTGCACACAAGCATAGCATAAAGCTGAAGCTCTGCTACCTGTCTCCAGGACTGATGGAGCAGCAGCTGGTCCAGGTGCAATGTTTTTCTTCACCTCTCTGTCTCCCCCCAGTGGCGTGGCATCTGATGGACTGTGCTTCTCCACATCTAGTTGAGTTGGACGAGGAAGGCTGGGACAGCCTCCCCGGGTCTCCTCTAACAGCTGCCTTTGGTGAAACCTGAGGGAAAAGAAATGTCAGTACAAACAGAAGGTCATTCAAGTTAACATTTTACTGTTGATTAACAGGCTCTCTGTAACATCAGACTTGTACCTCTGCTTACTGAGGATCTTCTCCAGCTTGGCATCTTCTGCTGTCTCCAGGGCCGGTGATGAGGTCAGAGGGCAAACAGTGGTGAGATACTGAACCAGCTGTATATGCTGACCTGGTCGATATGAACGTCCTTTACCTTGACTGTACAGCCACTCTGCTTTGAGACTGGAATTGTGACAATTACGTATAATAAATAAGAGATTCATTTAGACATGAACAACATTTAGATACTATTCCAGTGTTAATCCTAACAAACAAACGAACTGTAACTTTCCAATGTACGCACCCTTCTTTTTGTGATACTACATAGCCGTCCAGGACCTTTAGGCTCAGGCACCAACTCATGATGTAAGGCCGATAGTCAAATCCTGGCAATGAGGGTGTTGCCATAACACAAGGGTTGCTCATTATTGACAGCTGCTCCAGTTCATGGAGAGGTGCCAGGTATGACACCTATGGGGCAATCAGAAATAAAAGAAGGGAACAGAGGTGAAAAAGAGACAGAAATTAGTCAATGTAAATAAGCCTCTATAATATATTTTACATACAGATCTGTGTTGTTGTATCAAGTTAGGAAAAAGTTAATTACTTCATTGAGATCTCTTATCTCGTTTTCTGCCAGGGAGAGAATGGACAAATGGGCAGGGAGGTGAGCAGGAACTGTACGAAGTGTTGTAATGCTGTTTCCATGGAGTAAAAGCGTCTGAAAATTTGACAGAAAATGAATCATACAACAACTGATGCTATAACATTACATTATTAAATAGTTTGTTTTTTTTTGTTTAGACTTGCTTTTGACCTGGGAGGCTGCAGCACTCACCTTTAATGCTACGAGTTTAGTCAAATCACCAATGGTAGATATGTTATTGTCAGACAGATCCAGGTGTTGAAGGGACACACAGTTGCTGAGTTGTTCAATGACCTTTGTAAAAGAGTGTGCACTTGGTTAACAAACAACATATTAGCACATGGGCTAAAGCTAATCTGTGCATTGATATTTTTGTTTTTAAAAAAATGACGATGTATGACAATCTCTCTTCTCCTCACCTTAATATTGTTTCCAGACAGGTTGAGCCATTTGAGGTGAGGCAGATCTCTTAGCCCCTCGATGTAGCCAATACTGTTATTGGGAAGATTGAGGACTCTCAACTCTGTCAGCCGAGACACACCCATCATTCTGACCAAACGGTTACTAGCTACAGACAGCTGAGGACGAAAAGACCAAGACTTATAACGGGACATTAAATCAACAAACTATACACAGTGTTTAGTCACTATCGACTATGCTAGAATAAAGGGAGTAAAACAGAGTTAAAACAGACTATATTTCAAAGTGATAACTACCTGCTGAAGGCCTGGGCTCCTTTCCAGGTGGTCCAGTTTCATGATGTGGTTACGGTCCAGGATGAGAGTGTGAGTGTCTTCAGAGCAGGTGAAACTGGGATCCAGCTTTTGGATGCTACTGGCTGAAAGATCCAGCACAGGTCCTTGAAAGAGAAAAGAAGGTGGAGATTGAACAGACTGAAAAACCAGATTAAGCTCTTAAAGCAGCTAAGCATGCATACAGTAAAATGCTTTTAAGAAAAGACTGGTAGAGAAAAAAAATAATTTTGGTCTGTAGGTTGAGCTAGTTCTAAGTAATCACATCTAAATCTAAACACCTACCAAACAGCAAAAGAAAATATGACAGTCATTCAAACATGTCTACCGTCTTTCAGTAGCGTGGTTTTACCTAATGGTTGAAATGTTACTAGTGTAGTGTAATTATAACTGCTATCATCATGGCATCTGAAGACGCGAAACCTAACTATAAAGAGCAAGAAAAAAAACAATATACTGCCAAATATATACGTCGCTTCGATCCGCTTCTTACAGTCTATAATGGAAACTTGCAGAACACACCATACAATTAGTTGCTTTGATATTCAAGGTTTGTTAAACATCGCTACAATACCATATGTAAGTCGGACACAGGATGTTTTGATCTGCACCTAAGGAACTGGACAGAGCTAATGGCAGCACTCGGGTGATGCACGCTAGCTAACGTAAGCTACTGATATACATGCTCACATCTCGCTCGCTCACATTGCTGTTTGTAACAAAAACAAGTAGTGGGCCACTTACCAGCATTTGTATCAAACTGTAAATCTGATACACCCATCCTGTTGTCCCAGACAAACACCCTGCGTTAGCGAACAACTCTATTAGCCGCAGACTGTAGAGACCGGTAGTGACCAGAAGCGTCTGTTGCTTGTCAAACGGCTTAACCGGGGACTTTCTGGTAAATGTAGTCCAAAGAGACTGTCGCGCTTATTATGAAGTGGTGTCTCTGTGGCTCGAAAAGACTACAGCTGTCGTTGTTTCCTACAGCCCGCTCATGTTGCTGAAAACCGCCAGTCAGGTTTTAGAAATAGGAAAAAGGCTAGTTTACAGTGCTAACGACGAAACGTCGATTTGGTGATGTTGGCTATTTTTATTTTGTTCAATCTGCTTGATCCACCATTTTATTATCGAAAGTATTTTTTGACTGTTTGCTGACACGCTTGCAGGGCAACCGTCAGATTGTGACGTCATTGTTGAAATGATTGAAGTATTAATTTAATGAAATATAAATATATATATATAAAAACATTTATAAAAATATTGATTGAAAAATAATTTATGTGTGTATGTTACGAGTAAAGCATTAATAAAACTTCAACAGACTAAAAATGTTCACCGTTTATTAGTTTACAAAAGTCTCCCAATTCCGTTTCCGCTACCGACATCTTTCTTTCCGGTTTTGTGCCCCTCGTAGCCATCATGAAGTGAGTAAACGGAATGATATCAAACGCCATCTACACTCTTAAATAAACATTTTAACGACTCTACCCACATTAAGAATGCATTTGTATCATTTTCTTTCACTAATGCCTTGTATTTGTCGTTTTCAGGGTTGAGTTGTGCAGTTTCAGCGGGTATAAAATATACCCCGGCCATGGCCGCCGATACGCCAGGATTGACGGAAAGGTAACTACAAAGCCCGACACCAGTTTGTCTCAGCTCTGTCCGAAGATAGAATATGATTTACGCTGTGACCGATTAAATCCCAGTATTCGCTGTCTTAATATTGTATAGTGTGTATACAACACAAGTAATAGTCTCTGGAGAGGCCTAGTCGGTTCAATCCAATGTAGCTTGCTAACGCTAGCTGACTGCGTCACTGTGCAGCAACAGAACGAGACAACTTTTATACTAATTGTTTCTCAGTGGCAATGCTGTCTTCACAACCGCCCTAGAGCTTGGCAATGTGGATAAAATCACGTGTCACTGTGTGCTGTAACTCATTAGTATATCTACATTGTGACAGCCCTAACAGACCACTTTATCAGTATGTCAAGAAATGTGATTAACTTAATTGACAATTACCTTCGTTTTTTATGCCTATATCAAAATAATGTATTGGGAAATGCTCTGAAACAGAATTGTCATGAAGTCATCTTACAAGCAAAAAGGTCAGGCGTTTGTTGGTTCCAACATCTCAAATGTGGGGATTTGTATATTTCAGAAAACACTGTCATGTCTTGCAGATGTGTAAATGCAATAAACATGTCAGTGATGTTACGAAAGCATCCAGATGATCAATTGTCTGAAATCTCAATTCATCCCTCACTATAGAGTAAACTAGAAGAAAATGAGTGAACAGGGGAGTTATTTTTTGACATAAATGTATAACAAGTAATTAAGTTGAGTTTCTTGTCTTCATTAGGTGTTCCAGTTTTTGAATGCCAAGTGTGAGTCTGCTTTCCTGGCCAAGAGGAACCCCAGACAGATCAACTGGACTGTGCTGTACAGACGCAAGCACAAGAAGGGCCAGTCTGTAAGTAACAGCTTATGTATTTGTTGATAAGGTGTTGTATGTGTTGTACACACTATTTTGGCCTACATTGACATACTGTAGTGCTACTATGTTGCAGTCAATATCTACTTAACAAGTATTATTTGTTGGTGGAGCGATTATCTTTGATGCTGATGTTTGGTTGATTGTGAAATTGGCATATGATCTTTTCTTGCTGTATGCTGTTCCAGCTGTTAAAACTAGTGTCTGTAGTATTTATAGTAAGGGTTGAAAAATGTGTAAAAGCACTATGATGCCGTCATAGTGAATAATACATACAGAACTTGTTGTGGCATCACAAAACCATATTAATCAATCTGTGCTCTTGTGTAGATTATTAAACACAAGTCAACATAAGTTTCCACCATGTTACAGATTTTAGTTTGGCTGCGGGTGAATGGTGTGCACAGTGTTGGTCTGTGTTATGTGTTGTTGCCAGACTGTGTTTTGCAGTCTTGGCAGCAGTGCTCACTCCACACCTGCAGCCATAGAACAACAGGAGATCATAGTACTGGCCCTTGACGTCTTTGTTGACCTCTCACCATCGGTCAGCCTCCAAACTCTCCAACATGCTAGATTACTTTATCGCTTTATAACAGTGAAAGCCAATATCTAATGTTCATTTGGAATGAGAGATATCAGAAAACAAGCTGATGATGGTTTGGACCTTCTCTATACTGCTATTGCCTTTTTTGCATGTTGCATTAGGAAAACAAGTTAATTTCAGTGGTCTGTGAAAACTAGTTGAAGAAACTGTAAAGTTTACAATTACGACAGTAACTGCAGAGCTGTAGGCTGTTGTCCAAGTCTTTGCAACGTTATTCAGACATTTTTGTGGTTCAGTTGAACATCATAAGTTTCTGTTCTGCTTTATTTTTACCAACACCTCTAGTGTTTGGCCTGTGACTTACACCAGACATTTTTACCAATCTAAACATGTAAAGTAGTGAAGTTGCAGGATACTCCTGGTCCTTCTTTATTCTCTCTCTGAACAGAGGTTGGGCTGGGTTGGACATGTTGAGGATTTGCTTCTGTGAAGTATATTGAGAGAACGTGATACTGGGCTACAAATAAACTAAGGTCTCTTCATCACATGTTTTTAACAGGAAGAGGTGACAAAGAAGCGCACCCGCCGCGCAGTCAAATTCCAGAGGGCCATCACTGGGGCCTCCCTGGCTGAGATCATGGCCAAGAGGAACCAGAAGCCTGAGGTCCGCAAGGCCCAGAGAGAGCAGGCCATCAGGTATGATGCAAACTGTACATCAGGATGTCAACTTAGAATAAGTTCAGTCTACACCAATCTGATGGTGTGGGTTTCTGCCTTCAAAACTAGTTAATGTGGGTAACATAAGGTAAAGAATTATATATGTGCTGTCAAATTTGTGAAGAACTGTTTGTGAACTTTTAAGAGAAATGACATTTACAACACATCTGCATCTTTCCATCTCACCTAGCCCTCCAACATATCTACACATATTAAACCTCACTAGGTTAATGGAATATCTCGGTATTTACTCTTATAGTTTCAGCTAATATCTACACCACAGAATTGTACTGAACTACAGTAATGGTTTAAATTGTGCACATGTGCTGGAATCAGCGTAAATATTAAGTGCAGCGGGGCCCCCATGTCCAGCCTTAAAACTGTTCTCCCCAAAAGGCATTTCTGTGCCTTATGGGCACTGTATTTACAATAGCTTTTAGCTATTTGTCCCTTACATATGTTGGGTGTGTTACACCATTTATGGACATATTGTAAATTAATGAGCAGGGCTCTTGTATGGCTTTATTTTTGTATTTCATTTTATTTATTGGTTGAAGACACTCTTATGTATGGTCATTTTAGAGCTTTTCAATTATAACTCTTCCCAGATAATTTATAAAATTACATGATTATATTATATAGTGCTCACTCCTACTTGTTTAGTTTAGCTGATTGTTTCTCATTACTCTTTCAGAGCTGCCAAGGAGGCCAAGAAGGCAAAGCAGGCAGCTAAGAAGCCCGCTGCCCCAAGTGCAAAGGTAAGATCTCCTGTTGTGCATTTCAGTTATTAAATCTGGGCTTTATCTTGTTTAGCAGCAAAAAATGCACTTTCTTTAACCTAAATGCCTAAATTATTAAATAACTTGTCAGTCTTTTATTCCATAATATGTCCCAGAGTATTGTACTTAATGTGTTTTTCTTTCTGTAGGCTGCAGCCAAGACTGCACAGAAACCCAAGATCGCCAAGCCCATGAAGATCAGCGCACCCCGCGTAGGTGGAAAACGCTAAGCCTGACTCATTGTTTATGGTTGTGAATAAAATTTTGTGGTTTACCATCAGTTGTGTGATTTCTGATTTGAAAATAAGATGGTGTTGCAGCAAGACCATAAAGCGAACCTTTTCAGTCATGTCAAAGTGTCAAAAAATAAATGTTAATCTGTAAAGTTAATAAACAGTTTAATAAACTACACAAGGTGGGGAACACTGCAGTAGGTTACTAACAGGATTTTGGATGGTAACATGGTTCAGAGTCTAAATGCCTTTGACTAAATGATTGAATCAACAAGGATTACAACATTATTTATAAATGTCAGAGATGGCCATCTTCTCTGGACTATGTGAACATACACAGGTTTTGTTTGATTGACGTATCCCTCGCTCTCCTGTTTGGTTTGTTGCACTTCATGTCCATCACAGCACCATCCAACCTTAATCAGAGCTGAGGCCTAATTGCACAATCAGTAACATGAAAATGATCTGGGCCTTTGGCTGTAGTGCAGATAATGATCGTAGGCTGTAATCTGTATCCTGTTTCCAGACCTCAACTGTTTCACACATTTATCAGTCCAGTCATCAGGCTGCTGTAAATCTGTGCCATGAAATGGCAGGCTAAAATTTCAACACTTAAAATATTGAGAGTATTTGCTGAACAAATCTGTCTGAGGTTGACATGGTGCATTAAGTATGAAACTCAAAACAAGTGTCAGATGAGAATTGTCTTTGTGGATGGTGGATACAGGGATTTGTGATGCTGTAGTGTAGAGTGAAGGTAGATTGGGGAGATGGGATGTGCAGCTTGTGTCTGTGGCTCTTGAAAAGCTTTGAATTCAGTTCCTTAAATCAGTTTATTTTATCTTCAATTCATTCATCTAGCTCTAGTTCATGTTGATTAATTACATTATATTTAATATATACAGCTGAATAGTACTAACAAATGATATACTGTAAATATCAGTGCTGCCCACATGAGATTTACTGTTTATACTGGGAACATGTTTATACTGGGAACTGGCTCACACCTGTTTTGTGGCCACAGACAGAGAGACAAAGCTGTTCAAAGCCTCCTGCATTAACTGTT